CCAGCAGAGGCCTGGCTGGGCGGCGGGGCGCCACAGTTCCACAGGGAGGCAGCCGGGAGCACGCGGGGACAGGCCTCCCAGCCCTGGATCAAAAGGCCTTTCTTTGAGAGTCCACATCAGGCCACCGTCACTTGAAGAGCATTTGTGTTGGAGGCAGAAAACCAACAGAAGGCTTCCAGCTGGGCTTTCCACACTGATTAAGTCACTTGGAGTGACAGGCCATGTCTCCACAATGACCCCCGAGGGGGACACGTCTGGAGAGGCCACCTGCAGAGCTCAGGCACATCACATTACCAGAGGCGAGGGACCACCCGGGAACCCACTGCAGGGGGAACACCCCTGCCCAGGTAGTGGGCAAAAGCTGCTGAAATCAGCTTACACCAGAAAACATAAGCAGCAAAGAAGAGGTAGGGCCACCAGCATAGAACATTATAACTAGAGCTGGCTCGGGAAACGGCAGCCAGACAACGACTTCAATGACAAGAGAGGTACACCACGTGCAAGGCATGCCCTTGTGACCTCCATCTGTCAGGGAGTTTCCTGCAACCACAGAGGGAGGTGGGCCCTGTCCCCTCCCCCAACAGAGAGGGCACACGCTGTCTGTCGTCTCCGCTGTAATGCCCATTTGAAACCTTCTCCTGCCCAGAGCTCGTCCCTAACAGCCAGAGCACCTCTGCCAATCCACTCAGAGGGTATTTCTCTTCCCCAGATACATCCAAGGTGCCAGCCAAGGGGGCATCATTCAATGAGCCTTGTCTTAGCACTGTGATTTATGCCAAAGGCAGGAATAACCTTGGGGGAAAGAGATGCTGCTCTAACACAAAGAGCAAAATACTGCGTGGCGTTTAAGGCGAAAAGAATTATTTATGTATCTGTGGCTGCCAAATAGTATAAACACCTGTGTATACCCAGTTTACAAACCTAATATTTCATTCTCTTGGCTTGCTCTAATAGCGATCATCAATCTCAGAAAATGCTGGTGAAAATATGTACTCCTTATTATTAAGACATTTCCCACAGACGATTTTTAAAAACATGAAAATTGCAAGCTGATCAAAGGGGACCTGCCATATTTTCAAACTGGTTTAAAGAGCAGAGAGTCTGAGCTGAATTCCTTTTGGTCTCTGGCTAACTTTAGATGTCACCTCCTTCTCCCAGGGGACCCTCTTCTGCCCTGACAGGAAGATGAAGTCAGAGACGCTATGAGGTCTCCCACCTCCGACTTCTATAATTACCGATGTGGTCAGCTTTTCCAGAGTCCTCATGGCAGGGGCAAGTGATGTGCCTGGCTGGCAGTGCTGCTCACCATGGCCCTTTCTGGAGAAATCCCTGGCTCCGTCCACACGAGCCCTGGTGTCTTGCCCATGCTGACCATGGGGGTGAGGAGGGGTCACCATTTGCCCTTCCAGAGCCACTTTCCACCATGCCGCAGGGGCAGGCAAGGATGAGGGGCAGCGATCTGCTAGCTCCCTTCCCACCTGGGCATCATGGGTTCCTGCACCCCTCTTTTGAAGACCCAGCCCCAATATGCTGCTGCCTGATCAGACTATTCTCTGGTCTCCAGCTGCCATATGAGGAGCCCACCTGGGTCTGGGTCAGGAAGGGATTCATTGGCCCCCTTAGGGCAGCAGATGGGGCAGGACCAGAGGAAGAAGGGAGGAAGCAATGGACCACTGGCCACAGGGGGGTATAGACAGACAGTAGTAGGCGTGGCCCCAAGGTGACCCTGGACCTTACTGACAGCACCACAGCCACCAGCCTGAGACAGGTCCTGGCTGGGGCAAAAGTTCAAAAGGAGGAAGGCGGAAAGGGGTGTGCACTTCTCTCTCGGGTAGAGGTGATGAATTTACCAGCAGCTGTCAGAGGGGCTGTGCTGTCACCTCTTGTCTGGCCCACTCAGGGCTGTGGCTCTCCAGACCCCTGCCCCAGGCCCAGCTGCTCCTCNTTGCGCTCTTCCCGGGTGAGGCAGTCGCTCACTGGCCATTGGACGGCCACTCATGGCGGCTCACACCTGCTGCCGGCCAGCCCCACTGCAGCCTACGCCGTCGCCGGCCACTCACGGCAGCCCAGCTCCAGGTCGAGCTGTTGTTCAGCATCTTAGCTGGAGGGCAGTGTCATTGGCCCTCGTGGGATCCGAATCGGGACCCTGCTGCTCAGAGCTGGCGTCCCAAGCCAGCTCTTAACCAACGAACCACTCGGCCGGCCCTAAACAGGTTTCTTTATTGCAGGACCTCTCAGAGCCTTTACTACACTCACATGCTGGGTGAATCTTTAAAGGAGGATGTGGCATGCGGTGTTGCCCACACTGATGACTACAGAGGTGGTTTTTCCTCAGAGCCTCTCAAGACCAGCGTCCTATGGCCTACCCTTTGGAAAATGCTGCTTGGAGCCAAGACACAGGAGCTGCAACTTGAGGGGAGCCCAAGGTAAGGATGATTTGGGTCTGTAGACAATGGCTCTGGGGGTTGTTCCAAGGCCTCAGGGCCAATGCTGGGGCCTCGGCCACTAGCTGGGCCCCGCTCCTGGCCCCTTGCTCCCCAGCACCCGGGCATCTGCAGGACTGAGAAGTAAAACAGGCTGTGGAGAGGGCGGCTACAGGAAGGCCTGGGAAGGCGGTGCCAAATTTATTGTAGGAAAACAGCCAACCCATGGGAGCGCTTTGACCACCTCCCCCAGGCCCCTGGGCCATAACATATGGTGTGGTTTAAATTTTAAAAACTGAGGAATACTTAAGGAAAAAATGTTGGCAGGCTCCGAGGCACTTGTAAAACCGTCTGAGCTGACGGGGAGTCTGGGCCCCATCCCTCCAGGAGACGGAGGCAGCGCTGAGCAGGGGCCTGGAGGGCCCAGCTTGGGGTCCCCTAGCAGGAGCTTCTGGATGGGGTTGGCCAAAGGGGAAGAGAGGGAAGCAGCCCCCACAGCAGCCCCTGGATAGGCCAGAAGAGCCAAGGAGACCGGGCGAAGAACCACTTCATCCTCGCTGAGGTCGGCCAGGCCGGCAGGCTCACGGGGCGGGGGCAATGGAAGGCAGTGGGGGGGCAGGGGTGGGAAGCCGTGCACCCCAGGGGACAGACCAAGGGCCCTGGGGTCACCCCGACCTGGGCTCAAACCCCGGCTGTGTGACCCGGGACAGTGACAGCCCCTCCTGACCTCCCTGTCCTGATCTGTAAGGTGGAGCCAATAGCATCACATCATGCGGTGACAATGAGAACTAAGTGAAATGGTGCCTGCACCCAGTGGGGCCTCAGTACATGTTAGTTGCCATTGTCTGGAGGGAACCCAAGCAAGTGGGCTGCCCCGAGGGGGCCCAGATGCAGAGGTAGGTGGAGCCGAGCCACGTGGAAACTGCCTTCACAGAGGGCTGCTGAAGCGTCCATCAGCTGTGCTGTCCCGTAGCGGGTCACTCCCTCTCGGCCCTGGCAGCCACCTGTAAACAGCTGTCTCTCATCTCTTGGAGGCTGGAACCATCACAGAGAACATTTAGGCACTCAGCCAGTGAGCTGCTATTCGTATGCCCCCCCTGGGGTGAAGGAGCTAATGTGGGTTTAAACCCCTCGTGTCACCCTGGATGCCTTCACAGGGGGGCGGTGCAGGCTTTCAGCAGCCCAGCTGTTGCTGGAGAATCTGCTGTCCGTGACCTGGGTTCCTTCTATCCACAGCCCACCTGAGGAGCTACAGCATCCACGTTTCAGTGCCTTCAGCTGACGCCAGCCAAGGGGGTCAGCGCCCTCAAGGTGGCAGGCAGCTGGGGCCTTTTGAATTAAGCTAATTAAGAATTAACTGATGGATGAATACTTTTGGCTGGCTCAGGGGCTGCCTTTCTCCAGGGGCTAAATGTTACATCCTGGGGTCTCTGTGTCTCGTTGGCAATACATCTCTCCCAGCCTGGAAGCATCTCCCACTGTCTGCTTCTTGTTGTTTGGTTCTTGTCTCGTGCATCGCTTGTCATTCCCTCAGTGTGGGCTTGGAGAGGATAGATTCTGTGATTGTCCAGTTTGCAGGGACCCAGAGATGATCTGGTGAAGCCTTACCCATTTTACAGCAGAGAACACTGAGGCCCGGGGAGAGGAAGACCAGGATCCCATAGAAAGTTAGGGGTAGGGCCATTTCCTGACCTATGTGCCTGTGTGTTGCCACCCCTGCCACACTGTGTGTGGATGGACCAACATCCAGGACCCGGTCACTCAGGCTGCTGTCACCTCAGTCCACCAGCAGCCTGGGACATGAGACGCAGACTTCCTGGGGGACTGGTGCCCACAGTGTCGACATCCTGGGTGACGATGGTGCCAAGCTGGCCCACAGGGATGCAGGACACACCCACAGCTGTTTGCATACCAGTCTCACCTCAGGCTCTCGATGCCTCCAGGAGGTTGGGTCTGGCAGGCAGGGCCACTTTTAACAAAGGGAAACTGAGGCCCAGGGAGGGAACATGACTTGACTGCATAGGTAGAACAGCTCAGACTAAACCCCAGGATCCCAGGCCGGGCTCTTTGAACTGGATGGAGAACACATTCATCTATCAAGTTGGGGGGGATAAAGACACAAGCAGGGAACCAAGGCCACCAGGATGGGGAGGCAGGGTGTGCTGTCTCTCTTCCTTCAGCCATGACGGGGTACTCTGGACGGGGGTCAGGGTGGCCTGTCGCCCTCCAGTGTACTCCAGAACCTACTTCAGATACTCCGCATTCTATTACGTGTTCAACTGACATGGCCTCTGCCAACACAGCTTCAGCCACCCCCTTTCCCTCCCGATCCCCCTCGGACCTTCCCCACCACAGCGACCTCTCAGAGCCGCCCCTGCTGGCCTGGCCTGGAGCACCCGCCTTGGCCCTCCCAGGCATGTGCGCTCTCTGGGGGAGGCTGACAATTCTGGATCTCTGGAGACCAACGGCAGCCAGCAGCCCCGTGCTTCACAGCTCCCCACACGGCCTGGCACAGCCCTGGGGACCCTTCTTCCCGGAGAAGCCCTCCCATTCCTCCTGGTTTGGGTGGCCTCTTACCTTTGAGGTGAGGTACTTAGTCATAATTTCCTTCCCTTTTTCTCCCAGTTTTTCATCTGGAGTAACTTCATATTCTGCCTAAAACAGAAGAAGGAAAAGAACAATAATAGATTCGCTCATGAGCTTCTTATAGTTACAGAACCTTGGAGGCCCCTAGAGAAGACACCCTGGAGGTCCCCTGACCAATGTCTTCCTTCTACAGGGCAGGGAGCTGAGGTCCAGAGCCGGGAGAAGACCTGATGTCCAGTCCAGCCTGCTCTGCACCATCTGTGGATGTGTGCTTAGAACAGCGGTTCTCCTCCCAGGCTGCCCATCAGAATCACCGGGGAGCAAACTCTGGTGGCTTAGGCCCCACTCCACACCAACTGGGTCAGAGCTTCTGGTGACGAGGGCCAGGCATCCAGGCTGCTGGGTCTGAGATGCCAGGCAGCTGGGTGGCTTAGATAAATCAAAGCAAGCCACTAGAAAATAAGCCACCAAACTGGAAGGCCCACCCCCAAGAGGCTGCCTTAGATCACTCAGACATTACAAGCTGCGTGACCTTAGCAGCGGTTCTCAACCTTCCTGATGCCGTGACCCCTTAATACAGTTCCTCATGTTGTGGTGACCTCCAACCATAAAATTATTTTCGTTGCTACTCTATAACTGTAATTTTGCTACTGTTATGAATCATAATGTAAATATCTTTTTGTTTTCCAATGGTCTTAGGCGACCCCTGTGAAAGGGTCGTTCGACACCCAAAGGGGTCGCAACCCACAGGTTGAGAACCGCTGCCTTAGACAACTTCCTTAACCTCTATAAAATGCAGATGGAAAAAGCACTGACTTATAGGGTGATCGTGCCGATAGAATGTGATAAAGCTCTTAGGCCAGAACTGGGCACATAAATACTCAATTAACAGTTGCTACAAGGACCACCATTGTTATTATTACACCTTGCAAGAGAAAAAAATAACATGGATGCCTTACCCTTTGCAACGTTTTAGCTTTCAAGTGCACACAGAGATTTTTCAGGTGCTTTTTTCTGAACCTCAGAAGAGCCCAGGTAGTGAAGTGGGGCGGGGGGGCACCGGGGCCACCATTACAGCCCTTCATCCACATATGAAGAACGGGGGAGTCAGCAGAGTTTCCAGGGTCGTTCAGGGGGAGGTGGCAGGACCAGGACTTGGACCTCCAAGCCTGAGCTCTTTCTTAACGACACCCAGGAATTTAGGACTCCAGGTCGCAGGCCAAGCCGGTGGGACCTGGGCTCTAAAGAAGTGAGGCCTCTGAAAGGCAGACCTTTTTCTTTTCCTTGACCCAAGAGGGGCTCCTTTACTCACATCTGATGCACTTGCCCAATGGATAAAGCCCTGGGGTTAATGAGAAGCCCGGGTGAGCTTGCCTTTCTCACTTAGACAAAGGAACTAATTGCAAATTATTTATAACCATTTCAAAATCTACCACCCAAGGATTTGTCAGTCTTAGTCCAAAAGTATAGCTATTTCAAAAGAAACAAAGACAATCACAGACAAACTGAAACTCCTCCCCCCTCTGTTTCACTGTGGTGTTAAGACGCCCCAGGCCTCCTGGCCCGGTTCAAGGCACTCTCTCAACCCAGTGTCTAGGGGCCAATTTCCCCCCAGGCCAGCCCGGAAGACCCTCGCAGAAGAAGAGAAGCGCAGGCAGCACTTGAGATGCCCACAGGGGCAGCCGGGCACATTTCCACCTGAAGTGAGTGAGCTTCCTCTGAGTACAATTTCTCCTCTCGTGGAG